AATCCCATCCTGGTTTGCTTGTTGCTGTAAATCCATGGCAACCTATGTAAAAGCTTGGAAACTATTCTGTGAATTCAGGACTAAATTGGGTGCTTTCTCTTTAAGGGGCAGATTTAAAGGAATACCATCCTTTGTTCTAACAAAATAGTCCGGGCTTGTCAATCCAGAAGATTTGTGCAATGCTGAACATAATGGCATTTTATTACCTAGTTTATTTCTGTCTAGCATTCTAAGACTCCTGCTGATGCTTCGACTCAGAGTAGCTTTTGGTTTGGAAACATGAACTCCAGTGTCACAGATGACTTCTTTCTTTTGGTAATTCAGATTATTTTTAAAGTTAATAAATGTTCAAGACAGAAAGTGTCTGGCTAGAGAGAATTTGTTTTTCAAACTGTGAACATCTAAGCAGCAGCGTGTGAAAATAGTAGCCTTTGTTTTTGCTCCCCTCCGTCTCTTGTTAATGCATAGTTAGCTCCTTTCTAACAGTAGTTTAGTGTACTATAGTTAAATTTAACTACTATGTAGTAGTGTAACAAGTCTCTCACCTTTCTCAGTTGTGAATCAGTAAACTATAGCCCTTGTTCATCCGAAAGGATGCATGGTCAAAGGCAGAAGTGCTGCACTGAAGACCAGCAGACTACCCCATGCTTGAAGTTAGGACTTTGTATTTACAGAATAATTTATGCAGAATAACTGTGGTCATTATCTGAAATCGGATATTGATCCAGTGTGTTAAAGTAGCTTATTCCAAAACAAATCCTGCAACATTTTTACAGTTTCTATTAGAATATTTGCACATAGGGAAGTGTATTATAATAAAGTTAGATTCAAGAGACATCTTTATGTGAATATGAAAGAAATGGGAAAATTCCTGCATTTGAGACAGCGTTATGATAGAAGTAATCTTGAATGTAACTTCTTAGGAAGTTTTATGCAGTATAATTTAGTTTTTCCGTTATAAAATAACATACAAGTTTGAGAATTTTGGCTATGGCATTCCACGTTCAGTTGTAACATTGTAAACATTCATCTTATATCTTCCTTTATGTGGAGCTATAAATGTCCATCAAAATATTTGCATCTCTTCAGTAATTTAAAATATTAAAAACAAGGGCCAAATTTCAACATAGCTGTGAAATAGTTTCAGACCTTCGCATACATTTCCATATACATACTCCAGTTAGTAGTACCCTTCCATACATATGCATACCATGCAGCTTGTTCCTGACTGAAGTAATCTCCGAAAAGGATGTACAGTTGCGTCTCCTGAGAATACCAAACAGGAAAGCATACATGTATGCATAAATCCACGGCATGTCCTTGTGGAAAAAAAATACTTCTAGAATGTATTTCATTATTTTGATGCCTGGGATGCACTTTTGTATTTTACACATGGAGGTTTTGTGCCCTGCCCACAAGGCACAACAGAGCGCTGGGTTTGGGATTCCTGAGCTGGTTATACATAATTTATCTCTGGTCCTCCACATATGTACTTATCCAGAAAGGCTAGCAGTGCTGTGTGCTTTTTGCAATAAATGACCAGGTTCATTTTGAGTTACTGCCAGATCTTCTTCTTGTGGCACTGCTTTGTGCTGTGTAGACATACCTTGGAGGAGAATTATGTGCAAATCGCTCATAATAGTCTGAGGCTGGAGTCTTGCATTTTACTCAGAAACTTGCACAACCCTTACTACAGACATCTGTATGCTGGCCATTATTTTCTAGCCAGATCCTAATGCTGTTCTATAAAACTTCTTATATGTTATCCAAATAAAACATTCTGAATTTTAATGAGTGAAATTGCATTGCTGTTTAAAATTCAGTGAGCTAATTTGTGAGTGTCCCTTAATTACAAAAAAATCGAAGCCTGAAAAATTGGGTCCTGGACATAGATAGTAATTATTTTCATAACTCTTATTTTTACCTCCATAATATATGGAAAGGGAAAATGACCAATTATGGTTAGGCCAGAGGCCTTAATGTTAGGTTATAGTCCCAGCACGACCATTCACTCCTGCCAGTGCTGAGTGAATTTGGGTGACTCATGTGACATCTGTCCACAAAGTGTCCTTACCTGCCTAGGGGAGTTATTGTGGACATGAGCTGTAGTTAAGCACTCTTGACTCTTTACTCACTGAGGAAATCAGAAAAGTATTATTGTCACTTTGAATCTCAATAATGGCCACATAGTCACCGTTGGAGCACTTGGCCAGCCTTCAGTCGCCACTCCTTAATCTCAGACTCTGAATCAAGTATTATTTGCTGTGCCTTCATGTTCCCCTGCCTTACATGATATGACATTGCTAAACCAGTTCTATAGACATTCAGGTTCCTCCCATACTTAGTCATAATAGCATGGACATATAAACTGAAATATTTGCAATGTACTGCTGGTCAAAAACCTAGAAGCATCTGCTGCTATTCAGACTCTTTGATAACTATTCAACTACTACCACTTCTTTCTGAGTGCCTATTTTGGACATTCTGCTCAAATGGACCTAGCACTCCTGGTTGACAAAACAAATGCCCAGACATAGATCATAGATCACATTTGAAGAAGAAAGGAATAAATTAGAGTTTGGAAATGTAGCAGCTGGACTGATAAATAACAAAACAGAGTTACCGGGAAATTGCACATACACATGCCAAATATAGAAGAAATCTGAATGTGTCTGCTGACTGCACAAATCTGTCGACTGGAGAGATCTGATGAAAGCCAAGGTTTTATTCTGTCCCTCATTCAAGATCCAGTCTTTTGGATTTTATATCACTATTTGTATCATTAACATAGAAGGTGTTTATTTTGGTTCAAATGAAGAGCTTCAAAAAAAAAAGAGGACTGTTGTCTAAGAAATTGCAAAGTAATGGCCTCAATACTTTTAGATGAGGCCAAAAGTGCATAATGAAAAGTGCACTTCAGGAAAGTTAAGCCTATAAAGATACCAAAAATCTGAATTGATTGCAATTTCAATGTGAGACTCTAAAGGGAGTGTTGATCAAATCTGCTATTGCAGATAAAAGTGCCATGTAATGCTAATCATAACTTTTCCTCTGGATATCACCTGTTCTTTCAGCTTTTTAACTTGCTTTATTCCAGTGGACATTAGTGAGGTGTAACCTTATTCACATTATTCTCATTAAAAATAGGCCTGCAAATCTGCTATGCAGTTCAGAAAGTGCCATTTTTCTGTTTCCTCATATGTGCTGTAAGACACATTCCTCAGCCACCAGATTTTGCCCCTTTTACTATGTCATATTTGCAGTACAGAATCATCTTCTTGAGCTTTTCTGCCCCATTTCTCCACATCGCATTCTCACAACACGTACTCAGCAGAATATCTAACTTGCAACCAGATACCACAGTTGTGTAAGCTTGGTAAGTCCTTGTCATAACAGTAGTCTCTGACATTTAAAGAACTTCAGTTTATATTTGCAAGCCAAATTTCATACCTTCATACCTCTTTCAATTAATCAAAGTTAAACCATTGTATATGTGAAGGGGCCTCTTGTGGTTTCTAAGTAAGTAGTATGGCTTTTCTGGCAGAGAGCCACAAGCAATTTAGTAGGCACATATTGTGGAGGTTGAGAGGGAAGAGAGACAGGGATAATCCAGAAAGCTTTAAGAAGGGCTGAGCGAAATCAATATTTCTATACACAGCACAAGAATTTCGTGTTCTGTATCTTACTTTTGGCTGTAGCAGAACTGTTTTGATGTGTTGTCAGTAAACTAATTCTGAAATGTAGCACTGATTTGGTTTTCCTCTCACTCAGCCAGTTTTGAACTGGTTTTGCTTCAGCTGAAGTATTCCAAATTTACACCTGTGGCAATGAAGATTTAGGCACAGGAGATTTAAAAAGCACGGTGTACAATTAAGTATCATGTACATCACTAAATCATTTCCACAGGAATAACTCTAACATGGTTCCTAGTTGTCTTCAGAAATAATAAAGTTTAATTTTGTAGCCAAAGTGTCAAGATGAGGCTTTATCATGTAATTTTTGCTTGAGAGCTACACAGCTCTAAATAGATACCAACATAAAAGGTCTGTCTCCAGCAGAGCTGATCTCTCTTTCCATTTCTGACAGGGGTCACATAGCCAATGTAAATTACCACCATAAACTAAATTCCACCTCTCCTGTAGAACAAAGTGCTTGATCTGCCTGTCTAGAAGCCAGGAGCTACGTGGAGAACTGTAGTATTTCAACAGTCCACCATGAATGAATACTGAACAATAATGAAACACTGTCAACCTTTAACTTAATTTTGGCTCAACATATTAAAATCCATCCTTTCTTTAGGGGATTTAAGCACTATCTGAAGGGAACCTGAAGACAAGGAAAGTAATTCAAAAGGAAGCACTATCTTGCTCTGTATTTCATGCAAGATTCTTGTTCAACATACACATCTTGACAACAGTCGGGAATGAGTTACCCTTAGAAAAGGATAGCTAATGTCTCAAGAAGAACGTGAATTCTTCTCCATTTTATCTGTAATTTTGATTTAATTACAAAATCAAATTCAAATAGACAACATTGCATAGCCATGTAAAAAAAAAGTGGATTTTAGTAGAAATGTCATTACAATTGAAACATTTAAACTACTACTGCCAAGTTTTTGAAAGTATAATGATTTACATTAGTGTTTTATAACTAAGCTACAAAATGCTGTTAAAAATTACATCTAGACTGGAAACTATAACTTGAAAGTAGATTCTTATAATTGTATAGACACATCATCTTGACTTCAGTCTCAGAGGTCTCAGAAACTGAAGAACACAACACTTCAAAAACTATCAAAAAGACATATCAGAAAATTTGGCCTCAGTTCAGTATGTGACACCCTACAATATTTTACGCACCCCTTGTTTTATATTAAAGATGAATTCATTGTAAATGTTTGGAATTCTTCTTACAAACTTGTTGAAAAGGGACAGTATTTTAGCATGACTCCCTTGTACAAACCTGGTGTTTAGCAGATTACGTATGTTATTCTGTTATAGGTACACTACAGTGATAGACAAAATGGCAAAGAGTGTATGACCTGTTTGACACTGTCTCCTGTGCAGATGACTTTCCAAGGTATCGGAAGCTCCATTGAAGCCAGCCATGACCAGGTATAATACCTTCACCAAACACTCTTGTAATTTTATTAATATCTAGTAAGGCCAGAATGTCAGCATTAGTAAATTTTCAATTTCGACACATCTTGTGCTTGTCGTATGGCATGTGCTTGTCACTGGGATTTGCCTATCTTGCCATAATAAAATCCTGATTAGATCTAAAGAGTGACCTGAAAAGGAGACAAAACTGTGTTGCCTTTTACATATTTTTAAGACATACTAGGAAAGCCTGGAGAACTTGCTGTGGTTTTAAAGTCAGATGTAAGGTTTCTGCAAAGGTCTTGTTTAATTTTATGTATGTATCAGGTCTTGTCTATTCTCTTTTTACTAGAAGATTATGAGTAGCTGGAAAGCAGAGATGTAACCATCATCTGTCACAAGAAACTGGCATTTGAGAAGGGAAAGGGATTTTTAATCTGATTGTGTAAAACTCCCATTTTGTTTGGCTGTTCTTAAAACATTTAGTTCAAACTTCTGGTGGAAAGCCAGGAGAAAAAAAAATCTCAATCACTCATCACCCTGCTGCTTATGATGGGAACTGAGGAGGACTTCCATTCTGGTCTTCTTGTCCTCCAACACCCTTATGTATAAAAGCAAGACAAGACTTTGATGCTTCAACAGTTTTAAAGGCAAAAAAGAAAGAAGTAGAAGAAGATTTTTAACCAAACCTTGCACCTTGCAGATCTTCAATAGATTGGAAAAAGTACTATTTTATTTACCTTTGCAGGCCATCTTTAAATTGTACTGTGTTCACATTTACCATACATTTTATCAGACTTCTTGTAGGATTCTCTAAGAAAAAAGGAAAGATCACCTTAATAATTATCAGAATTAGTTACTTTTGGGAGAAAGTTTCAGACACTTTTAGCCATATTTTAGATTGGTAGAAGTTTTTTTATTGGAAGTTTCTAAGTTAGTTGTTAACATAAACTAAGCCCATTAGTTACTTACATGGTAACAGGAGGATACTTCCTGTTCTTAAGTGTTTGGTGCTTTACAGAAATAGAGAGCTGTGGTAAGTCAGACCATACTGTGACAGACGCAATCCATTCAGTTCTCATTTCACCCAGCAACTTGTTTATGCTGTTCTAAAGTCACTCCGTTTTTCTTTCTGTAAAGATCGCCTTTTAAAATTCAGTAATAACTCAAATACAATATTTAGACATTTCAATGAATTTAAGGTGGTCCCTGTCAATTTGGTAACAACTACATTCTAGGCTACCAGCCAGCTTGGCCTTTGTCTTAGCATTTATTTAGGCTAGAGTATGATATGTAAACAGAAAAAAGACTTTATAAGCAAAAAGCACATTTAAGTCATCTGAATAATTACATATTTAAGACATCTAAATGAAAAAGTGTTATTGAGCGTGCAAAGTCAAGCACCTAGAAATTAGGAAATTCCAGATTATGTGCAGCATTAGTTTGATCTCAAGTGTACCCATCCAGTGTTCCAAACAGAACATTCTTCTAGGAGAAAAAATAATGCATAAAAATCACATGAAGATTGTATCATAGCGTGTACATAAATGAGTAGAATTAGTTTGCCTGGGCCATTGTGAAGATACAATTTCCTAATCTTGGTTCAATTTGAAGTTTAAAAAAATGTTCAGCATTGGTTTCAGTTATGTAATTTTCCACAGGTTCTTAAAAAGGAAAAAATGTTTTGTCATTGCACGATGGGAGGGTTGTTGCATTACTGAACCCACATCACTTGTGCACAGATTGCATCTGAGCTGAGAGCAAAAGAAAATAATCCTTTAAAAGCCAAGGGCCAACCAGTGGGTCACAAAATAGATCCACATACTCATCAGGAGTCACAAAGTTCTGCTCATCCACTTCCTAAATATCAAAGGAATTACCCTTTCTGAGGAAGAGAGGTGCTACTGACTGCTTGTGTTTGATGAAAGGGGATGGCAGGGCTGAATTGAAACATTATTTGCCATTGCCTAAATAAACAGAGAAAAATGAATAATCAGCAAACAAACAGAAAGTGCATCAAGTATTTGTCAGACACTGGTATTAATTAATAATAAAATTAGAGCTCTTAATGGACCAACTTACAAAAAAACCAAACCTTTCTTTCTGGTTCCTATGTGATTGGTATTATTTTGCTTGTTTTTCTACGAATTCCCTTGCAACAGGTTTATTGGATATGCTTCATCATCTTATAAAAATAGGAGACAGAAATGCTGTGCCTGTGTTAAACTGAATTATCCACATTGTAAATTTTCAAATGAAATAAGTGCTAGATAGCCATATGCTATATAACTTAAATTCTAGAAACTCTCCTTAAACTTATGTCATCTGTTCCTTTTAGATCATTTCTTTTGTATTGTATTGTAAATAGAATGAGCTACTCACGTGAAAGCCTGTGATTTCAGTGGGGGTGTGTTGATTTTTATCAGGTATGAGGCCTGACAAAGTTTGACTTCAGGATCTGTCCACTTCTGTGCTTATGGGGATATTTTTTCTTGCAATCAAAATATAGCTCCCATAAATTCTAGGGTTTCTTTAATGGAAAACTGTCTGAATGAGAGTCTGGAATAGTTTTCTCTGTGGGAAAGTGGTGGAATCTATTGTGTGAGAACTTCTAATAAAGCAGATGTATAACAGATTTGTCACTACGTTGTGGCAAAAGAACCACAGCTGACCACATACCTTGATCACAAAAAGAAACAGAAATGAAAAAAAAAAAAAGAGAGAAGAAGAAAACCAGGTTCCCAATGGCATCTCCAGCACTCTAGTCTGCCTTTTAGATTGGACTTGTGTTTTGTAACGTAGATACACCTCTCTATTCACATCCAGAGATTTGTTACCCAGCAGATACTATTATCTCTTTTTTTCAAATATGCCAAGACTTGACACAGCAGTTTTTTCAAATCACTTACTCTTTTCCTATGCTCTGTAGGGGGTTTTCATTCTTTAGATTGCTTTAGCTTGTGATTTTAATGAGTTTAAATTTTTCCCCACATACTTCATTTGAGCAATTTAGATTAAAGTAAACATTTCATACTGGTACGCTAATTAGTGTGTATTTCAAATGTCCGATTGACAAGGCATATCTCATTTGATCATGAAGCAGTATTGTGGAAACAGTTGCTGGTCTTTCATTTTTCTTTTGGCAAACTGCAAAAAAGGGAAACTTTCCTAAATTACTACTGCAGTCTAACATGCCACATGTTTTGTTGAGCTGCGCAATCAGGTATGCTGACCTCTTTAGTAGAAAAAGAATGGGTTTTAGAATTATTTTTTCGTGAATTATTCACTTATTTATTTTATGTTTCCCGGTATCTGATTATAACTATAAATTTATCTTTCCTTAATGGCTATTATTCTTTGGGGTTTTTTTTGTTTGGTTGTTTGGTTGGGGTTTTTTTGTTGGGTTGGATTTTTTTCAGTAGAATTTAGTTACAAGAAGCTTTTAGTTAAAATGGTCACCGCTTTCTAGTGACTTTCTCAAGCAAACCTTTGTCATTAATGGCAATGAATCCTGGTATTTTTTACCTTGCTGTGGGACTGGAGACAACCTGTTCTCAGGGCTTACAATGGACTTTAAGCATATAGTGTGAAGCTGAGGAATTAGTTGAATGTGGGTGATGCAGAGAAAGAGAAAGGAAGTCCAGGCTGTTGTTCTATATGTGTGTCAATAAGAAAATTCAGTGTATGAGAAGTGTGAGACAGAAAAGGGAAAATCCAAAGATAGGAAGGTATATAAGCAAAAATGGGTGGAATGGAGCAGAAAGATGCAGCGAATGTTAAATTTGATGGTCTGTGTCATACAAGGTAGCCTATGACATAGTTTCAATCTGAGAAGTGACTTCTGCTGTTTACTTCACCCAATATTCCCAATGAGATGTGCTGTTAAAGTGATCATGATGCATCTCTCATGCTTATATTTTTAGTCCATGCTTTCTTCATCCAGTCTAGTTTATTTGTGTTGTATATTGGACTATGTTTTTAGAACTCTCCTACACTTTACAATGCATAAAATAGATAATTTTTATTTTCTAGGACAGATAACAATTGTGTAATGTTACATATAATCTACCACTGTTATCACTTTTATTTTCAAGTATAAAAATAGTTGGAAATAGAATAAGCAGGGGCAGAAATTGTAGAAGTGGAAGAACAACTGATGAGATAGACTTGATAAAGGTGTCGAGCGGGGAGGGTCTGTACTGAAAGGAAGATGCCATGCTCAGCAGTTTCAGAAATCGCTGATGGAAAGTCTGACAAATAGCAGTGACAAACTGAAATGCAGTGTGTAGCAAACATCATTGTTGGCCTACAAACAGGCATTTCTGATAAGGTTTAAGGGATTGTGGTGTTGCCCAGAGGTGAGCAGCTTCTGATGTCGCTTGAATACAGCAAAAGTGCAAGTAGTTCTCTAGGGATAAAAAAGCCTTGCAAATGGGTGACAAACTCGAGGAAAGCTGCTTGGAGCCATGAAACTTAAGGTTTAAGAAGAACTTTACCTTGTAACAGCAAATACATAATACGTATGAAGGTCCATATCTCTGTACTTGTTATGGTCTGAGAATTGTTTGTAGAGCATGCTTGGGAGGCAGCACCTAGGGAGTTGATGCCAGCCATGACTGACTTATCTGTAAGAAAGACAAAAGCCAGAACAACTAACGGTGAAGCTGATGAGTATGCAAAAGATGAGAATTTGTCTAGGGCTGTAACCAAAAAAGATGAATGGGGTTGGGTTTTTTGTCAAGATACCTTTCCGCAGCAGAAATAAAAGATTCTTTATGGGACAGTATGTTAATTCCTGCTCAAAATTAATTTTGTTCAAAGGTCAAATTTGTTCAAAGATCAGATTTACTTCGCAGTAGATGTTTGTGTTCTGGACATAGCCAAAAAATGAGAAAACACTAAAATTTTCCTTAAAAATGTGTATTCCTTTTTTCAGCTGGTGTTGTGTCCTTACCTTGTCAGCTCATTTCTGCTTTAGTTACTGTAAATGCAGTTCTCATTTCTTTGGGGTGGTT